CTTTAATATGATGTTTTTTATTATTGAATTACACTCTACTCTTCCTTCTATTATATCATTTACTTTCACTTTAATGTACCGTTTAGTGCTTTCTTTTATTTTATGTGATATTTTAATATATTTAATATATTCTTTTTCATTATTGACATTGATATTTATTACTTTTATAATGCTTTCAATTTGTTCCCATCTTAATTTCTTATATAATTTCTTATTTAACCAATTAATTCAAAACAATACAACACTTCAATTAAAATTCTATTTGTTTGGTTTGTTGTATTTCTTCTTGTATTTTAATTATACTTTGTTTTTTGATAATCAGTGCTTTGCTTTCCTCTTCGATTTCCACTACTGTCTTTTTCATAGGAGTAGTTTCGTTCATCTCCATTGTTCCTGATGATGTTTTCCTCAGTACTGGTTGTGTATTTATCACAAGTGTCATCGTTTTCTTCTTCTCTAGTTCCTTCTGTGAAATAAAATTTACAATATCATCTTGTTGTTTTGATATTATTTGTTTTTGTGTCTCATTTTCTTTTTGTGTGTTGTCTAATTCTTCTCGTGTTATTTCTACAATTTCTTGGTTTTTAATTGCAATTTCTTGATATTCAGAGATTTGTTTTTCTTTATCTCTTATTTCTTTCTTTAATTCTTTAGTATTTTCCTCTATCATTTCAATCTTCTTCTCTAATGTGTTTGCATTTTGTTCTAGCGTTTTGTTTCTCTTTTTCAACTTTTCAATTTCTTCTTTCATTTCTTCATTTTCTTTTTCAATCTTCTTTTTATTAGCTTGGATACTTCGGATTTTTTCTTCTTTATTATTTACTTCTGTGATTTTCTTTCCTTCTATCTCGTTTATTTTTCCTTGTAGTTTTAAGTTTTCTTCTTCTAATTTTTCATTTTCTTTCTTCATTTCTTCATAATTCGTTTGAATCTTTTTAATTTGTATTTTCATTTCTGTAATTTCTTCTTCAAATTCTTTCCTAACTATTTCTTTTGCTTTTCTCATCATTTCTTCTGAGATGGCTTGTTCTTCTTCCATTCTTTTCATACTTAATTCTTTAAGTTTTCCTTGTAATTCAGTAATTTGATTTTTCAGAGCAATTATTTCTTCTTTTTCTTTTTCTTCTTCTATCTTTTCTTCTTTATTTTTTGTTTCTTCTTGTACTTTCTTTATACTTTCTGTTTCATTTATTATTCTTGCAATTTTACATCTATCATTCATTTCTTTAATTGGGTTTTTGTTTTTAATTTCTGCTTCTATAGCCTTAATGTCTTTTTCCTCCCAATATTTTGTTTTTTCTTTAAACTCTTCTTTATTTTTTTCAATTATCTTTTTCTTTTTGATTGAATATACTTCTTGAAGAATATCATACCATCTTTTCTTCTTACCTTCATATTTTTTTAGTATTTCTTCGTATTCTCCTTCTTTCTTGTATCTCATTTATTGTTAGCCATTTGTATTTGTTATTTGTATAATCTTTATTATTATTGTATTTATCTTGTTTTTTATTTGTTTTTCTTTGTGTCTTTCGTCTTCTAAACCCTTTTTCCTTGGTGTATCGTTTACCTTTATTATTATAATTTCTTTGCCATTTATTGTTATTGACGTTTCATTCTTTTATTGTATGATATTGAATTTCTATGTCTTGTTTGCTTTTCTTTACAAGACTCTAAGGTTTTACACAATAGCCATGGCATTAAAATTTGTTGTATTTCCTGCATTGGAAAAGGATCTCCGAATAGAATATATAATAAAGAAAGAAAAATAAATTTAGAAATGAGAGAAATAAAGAAATAATAGAAAAAAGTAAAGCAATAAATTTGAAAGGAGTAACAATAACAATAGAAGATATTGAAAAAATAATAACTATAATATCATCATAGAATGCATCATGTATAAACACATTACAAGGATATTATCTAAAAAATTAGAAAGTAATAGAGATAAAATAAAGAATATATTTAATGAATAGATAGAAATACTAAAAACATTCACATTAGAAATGTTAAGAGGAAGAATAATTTTAATATATAAATGTAGAGATAATAAAAATCAAGAGAATTATAGACTAATCATTTGTTTAAATATAATTATGAAAATATTCACAACAATTATAAAAATGAAGATAGATGGACAACTAATAAAGAATAAAAATAAATTTAAAAATAATAAAAGTCAGTATTGAAACAAGAAATGGAGTTTAGCATCTAATGAATGAAGTATAAAGAGTTTAATAGAAAGAAATAAAGAGAAACACAACATAAAAGATAATTAGAAACATTTTATGATAATAAAAAGCATCTGATAATGTAAATCATACATGACTAGAAATTACATTAAAGTATTTCAAAATGCAATTTCAAATAACACAAATAATAAAAAGTAAGAGTGAAAGATAGAGAATAAAAATATGATATAAATATAAAGAAGAAATATGAGAAGTCAAAATAAACAATTATATTTTATAATGTGACTATCTTCTCTCTTATTCATATTACAAATGAATATCATTTCTGATGTAATTGTTTAAAATGAAAATGACTAAAAGTAATACATGTATTATATATGGATAACATCAAAGTAACTAATGAAACAAAATGGAAATAATACATCAGAAAATAATTGACACAAATGAATCAATAGAATTGAAATAAACATAAATAAATGTTGAATAGTAACAAGAGGAAATATAAGTATCTCAGATAACATGAATATTATACAATTAGAAGATAAAGAATATACATATAAATATTTATGAAATGATCAAATTTACAAGAAATGATGATACAGAATGTATATGGAAAATAATTAATAATATAAAAGAATGAATAGAAGAAATAAAAGAAATGATAATAATAAGAATTATATTAATAGAATAAATACAGAAATAACAAAAAATTCACGTATAGTGATTCTATTGTTAAATAACCAATTATGAAAATAAATGAAATGGATAAAATGATAAGAAAATGAATAAAAGAAAGAAATGTAATAAGTACGGGAATATGTACAAGTAGATTATATTTCAATCAAAATAAAATGGAAATTGAATAAAGAGTGTAAGAGATGAATAATGGTATTTAAATAATAAGAACAAATATGTATTTCAGGTTGAAAAGAGGAGATAAAATATGAGATATGATAAAGATAAATGAAAAAAATATTGGGATATGGAATAGATTGTATAAAATATGTTGAAAAAGAATAAGCAAAGAAGAATTAAAAACATATTTGAAGAAGAAGAAAAATACAGAGAAGAAGAAAATAATAAAATAGATAAAAAATAAGTTTCAATAAGAATATATCAATAAATGGAGAAATAAGAAAGTAATGAGTTAAAATGTTAAAAGGAATTGAAGATAAAATGACAGAACAAAAGAAAACAAATAAAGTAGGGAAAACAATTAATAATATAAAGATAACATATACTCAAATAAAGAAAAAGCAAGAAATAATGAAATAATGAAATAATTTGGACAAATGACCATAATATTCAATATAATATCTGTAATAAATAGCAACAATAAATCATATCATTCTCATTTGTATAATCACTAAAAAATTACAGATGAATAAACATGATAGAATATGAGAATATATAATGAGAGGTTTAAAAATTAAATATGAAATATATAAAGATGAAGAAATAAAGAAAACAAGAAAAGAAGAATAGAGAAAGATAAAATATTTATGTGTTGGAAACAATAAATAATAAATGAAAAAGAAGGAAATTCCATAAAAGACAAGTTATTTATATTAGAGATTTAAAGAAAAAAGAAGCAATAATCATAGTATATGACAATAGTAAGAAATAAGAATATAAGTAAACCATTTACAAATAAATATATGAAATTACAAGAATATATATATGAAAGATAGAAAGATTAATAATATTAATAATAATTCCAGTAGTAATAACAGTAGGAGGATTGATAAATAAAGAAAGAGTTAGATTGTTAAGAAATGAAGGAATTAAAAATGAATGTGAAATAATGGTAAAAGATATTATAATATCAAATATGAAAGATCTTATGAAATATTATGGTGATAATTTAGGAGAATACAGGAATGTAGAAGAATAATAATAAGAAGAGATATACTCTGGAGATGGTGAATGATGGGAAGAAATTCTCACATGAACAGTAGGTTAAAATCATTAATCATTAATTTATTGTTTATTTAGATGCATTATTTGTTTATTTGTTTATTATTTTGGTTCTTCTTTATGAGGTATTTTATTTGTGAAACAATAATTTAACATAATGAATTATCAACAAAATAAGAAGAGAATATTTTGAATTGCTATTTTATCTCACACATTCATTAAAACATCATTTTCATTGTTGATTCATCACATTGAAAGACAATTTCAAATTTATTTCTTTTACAATTCTTTTTAATATGTTTCATTTCTACTTCTATGTTATTCATTGATGAATGAAAGAAATACAAAAATTCAAATAATGTAATGAAAAATAACATAGAATAAAGAAATGAAATACAAATATAAAACTAAAAGACATGATAGACAGAAGAAATAGAAAGTTTATAAGAATGAATAAAACAAAGAAATACTAGGAATATAGAGAAAAAGAATAAAGTCAGAGAAAAGAAACAAATAATTTGATTTATAGTTATAAACAAAATAATTAGAAGAAATTATAAGAAAGAAAAACTAAGAATAAAGAATAAAAATGAGATTTACAATACAAATATAATGAAAGATATATTAATCAAAAGTGGAGTTAAATAAATGATGTTATTTTTGAAAATGACATTATTAGTGATATTAAAACAAAGTATTTAACAACAAGAAAATTGATTTAATTAATTTACTCTATTACTTCAAAGATACCGAGTAAATTTGATTGACAATAAAATAGTTTAGCAATGTCAGTGGAGAGTAATGAATATTATTTATCATTTTTATTCCTTAATTAAAAAAAATTATTTTAAAAACCAGTTAATTAAAACTTTCATTTCTTTTGGTTATTTGATTTTAACAAATAACACAATCATCTCCAGATTTATTCATTTTTGATTTTCCCTCTTCTTTCATTCTTCTTTTAACTTCTGCCTTAATCTCAGCCTCACTCTTTTTTGTTGTTGAATTTTTCATAATATCTTCTATCATTTCATTTGCTTTTTTTAATTTTTTATATCCTTCAATTCTTGCTTCGTATCCTGGTTTCTTTTCATCATTTTCTGTTTGAATCAACATGTCTAAATATTCATTTGAACTAGTAACTTTATTATTTAACGCAATTTCAGATAATGTATTAACACATTCGACGATTTCTTGTTGTTTATCACGACAATCCATTTGAATTTTATAAAACTCTTCTTCTAACTTTTTTAACATAGCTTCTGCATTAGCAACACCTTTTTTACCTTCATTATATCTTTCAAATACTTCTTCTTTTGTTTCTTCTTTTTTCTCAATTACATATTCATACTTACGTGATTCATTTACGTGTTCTGATGAAGGACAACCACATACTTTACAATACCCATAAAAATCAATGCATGTACAAAGTATATTTGTAAAATATGAAATTAAAGATGGAACATGACATGGGTGATGACATGTTTTATGACATTTATTACAATTCGTTGCAGATTCTCCTGACTTTAAGTCAACTATTTTTTGTACTTCTACTTCTGTAGTAAAAGTAAAATTTTCATTATTTTTAACTTTATCCTGATTTTCCTTCAATTGTTCATATATCTGTTTTATTTCGTTCATTTTTGCCAACCCATTATTCAATGATATTCTTATTCCTTCAATTTGAGCCTTAATACATTCTCTTTTCCTTAATACTTCTTTCGATTTCTCTAATGATTTTCTCGGTAATATTTCTAATTTTGTTATAAAGTCATCAAAACTCTTCATACCTAATTTCCAAAACATTTGTGTAAATACATCTTCTGTCTTGTCACTATAAATAGCTGAATTATTAAATTTTAAATACCATGGCTCATCGATCTCTGGAATAATTGTACTGAAAATACAATCTTTTGATTTTAATGCATTTATAACTTGTGGCTCTTCACCATCACAGAATGTAAGCATTGCAATAAAATTCTTTTTAACATCTTTCCCAAATAAGTTAATAATATTCCCAAATATATACTTTTGACTTACTGTTAGTTTTACATTACTTGATGATGCAACAAAACAAATAGCATTTAAATCAAATACTTTCGTTTCAAATGCTTTTTTTATTTGTTTAGTAATTTCTGTATCCCATTCAATTCCTCTTGTATCTCCAAATCCTGGTGTATCTATTATTTTGATTGGTGGTGTTCTTTTTGTTCTTTTAATATTATAAATTGTTACTTCACTTGTTTGACTTACAGACTTTTCTCCATACTGTTCTAAATGATCTTCATTTATAATTATATATCTAAAGTCGTCTGTTATTTTTATTCCATATATTGCATTTACAAAACTATTTAATAATGTAGTTTTTCCACTTCCTGTTTCACCAACAACTAAAATTGCAATTGCATCATTCTCATCTTTCTGATTAAATGGTTGATTTGGATATAAATATATTTTCAACTTTCCATTTTCATGACTTTTCAATCTTTTACTTCCTTCAATTGGAATATTTGGTTCAGACACATCTGTATTACTTGGTGAAGCATCAGTTTCTTCTGTTTTGGTATTATTTGGAGACGTATCAGATATGATACAATTAGTTAAAGAATTGCCAGGTATTGTACTATTATTTGGTGAACCTAGAAAAGATGTGGTAGTACTTGGTTCAGATACATCAGTAACTCCTGTTGTTATGTTGACTTTGTTATCATGCAAAATAGATGTTAGTTTTAATGATTGTTCATCATCAGTTGGTATTTTAAATCCCTCTAGATCTTCAAACACAAAGTCTTTTGGAATTTGTTTTACATTTTCAAATTCTTTTCTAACATCTGAAAGAGAAATATTCTTGTTGAGTTGTTTTTTTATCAGTGGGTTTCCATTCAAACATATTCCAATTGTTATATCATTTATTTCTGGTGTATTTTCTTTCTCTTCTTTAAGATTAATTTCTTCATTATTAATTATATCTTCTACAGTAAATACATCTTCATCATCTCTTTCAACTCTATCATCGTCAGTAATATAGAAATATGCTGAATTTGGAATATTTTGAACTATTTTTCTAACATCACTTAAATATGTTTTAGTATCAATTTCAATAGTGGTAATTATCTTATCATTTATCTTTATTCTTATTCCTTTTTTATCTTCTGTTTCTTTAATATTTATTACTCTTTTTTCATCAATTACATCTTGTACAATACGACACTCTTCATCATTCGCATCAATTACATCTCCGTCTTTCGTTAAAAAGTGTTGAGAATCAGATATCTTTTCTTTGATTTTCTCTCTGACTATTTTCAAATTATCTTGTGAATTTAGTGGTTTAGTTGCAACACATTTTCCATTTAAAAGAAATTTAACTACTACTTTTGACATTGAATGATTAATAAGTTTGTTTTCTTGTTTAAATATATACCATTCGGCAAAATATGGTATTTAGTTAAATGTGTTACTTCTTTTCTGATTGGTTATTTCTTATAAACATCATTTGCTTTGATACTAAACACTGTTTTTAACATTTTATTCAGTTTTATTTTTATTTATTTCGGTATATTTTTATCGTTAATTACATATTCATGAAATAAAGTTACAATAAACTTTTCGTCATTATAAAAATATAATGATAATAACTTCTTATTCATTCCTTTTTATCATTTTTGTTGACTTGAATTTCTTTACATTAAAAATAGATAAAATCAATTGACTTATTTCATTCAAACTCCTCTCTTATTTATTCTTTTAATTTTATCGTTAATAATATTTCTTTTTTTCATCATTTCAAACATCATTGTTCTGAAAGTATAATAACATTGAAGGGGGGTAATGATTGTGATATAAAATATTATCATTTTTATTTTATTTCATTTCACTTTCTTTTTACTTTATTTTCTTTCGACTAAAAAATGAAAAACAGGAAATGTCACCAAAGTATTAAACATAATAACAAAAGAGAAAATAATATCAATAAATAAATATAAATGATAGACGAATACGTGAAATATGTAGTATTTGTATATTCAGAGATACACTAATTATTAAATTAATCATTGTAATAATATATGAATCATTTCATTCATTTTTATCATCATAAATATTTTAATAAAAAGAAATAAAATAAACAAAAAATAATAAATAAAAGAAAATATTTATACTTTTCATGATTGAAATTGGTTAATATTAATTAAGTGAATTAAATGATGTTTAAATGAGAGAAATGTTGAAAATACAACACATATGTAAATGGAACATTCAACGATAAGAAATCGACAATAACAAAATAGAGATTATTGAATATAAAAAGAAATATATTTCTCAAAAGAGTAAAGATACAAGAAAGAGTAAATGTTCATCATTGTTTCATTAAAATCATAACTTGATTCTAATCATATTCACTTTCATTTTTTTTCTTATGTATTTTCTCTTTTTGTATTATTATTTTTCATTTTTATTGTTAATGTATAAAATACATTGAATATCACTATTTTCATTTATTTAATAAATTTATTCAACTCTTTTTGTTTTATCTTTTACAACTTTTTTCTTTTTCAAATAAATTATTGTGGTATGGTTTTACTATTTTATTCATATAATATACATACATTTCAAAAGTATTTTAATTGAAGTATATCAGATATAACTTTAACAATTTGTTGAATATTATCAGAAACTCATTCTACATTAAATTATTGATAAAACTCATTTTAATCTTGTATCTTTGTACAATTAACACTGTCTTTATTATTTTAATATCATTTTATTCAAATTCTACATGAAAATGAATATCAACAATATAAGAATCAATTAACTTCTTTATGTTTAAATTTAACTTACCATTTATTTTTAAATATTATTTTAATGTTAAAATTAATTAATAAACTTTAAATCAAATGAATAAACAAATATATTTGAATTTAATTGTTTTATTCTTTGTTCATTTCATATTTTATCATTTATTTATTTTTCGAATACATTATAAACGTACACAAAATGATGTTTATTGTTTTACAATGAGAGATTAAGAATATAAATTGTACAAGTTATAGTATTTCATTCATTATGAAAATATCAAATGAAAATATTTTCTGAATTAATACAGTAACATCATTCTATCTCTCATTTCCTCTGTTTATTCATGAAAATTCAGTTATAATGCAATTATTTCTATCATCTTTTAAGTTATGTCATATTGTTTCTCGTGTGGATTATTTTGGAATATCATTTATATTAATTATATTCTTCTTCAAAATAAAATTACCATTCAACTTTTGCATTCACTTATTCTTCAAATCATTGTTAATTTGAATTATTTAATATTTTCACTATTCAATGATTGTTATTTATCAAATGCTTAATTAATACCTTCCAATGAAATATTATAAACCAACATTTCATTTAATTGTTGTTAAAAATAAATAAATTTGTTGAATTAAACAGTTTTGTTCATCTAAATTCATTCTATATGAATATTTATTTGATAAAGTATACAATAAAGAAATATGAAATGTTTGATGTTAATAAAAATAATGAAAATAAACAAAATACAATGATAATGAATTAATAGAAAAAAATAAATATTCGTATTCAATTTAATAAAAATAATGAATATAAACAACTTATTTATTTATTATTATAACACAGTTCATTTAATTTGTATATTCATTTGATGTTTTATATTAAAACTAATAATTAATCAAATGTACTTTCAATTTATTTTATATTCATTACTATGAATAATATTAGTTTAGAAATATAA